AGAGAGAGAGAGAGAGAGAGAGAGAGAGAGAGAGAGAGAGAGAGAGAGAGACTCACATGCAATACTTGTGATTGCTGGGGTGTGACTTCAAGGAAGAGGGGCTCCAGTCGAGTTCCCATTCTTCAGCTTTTACTTTGAGGAATTTCACTTCTGTGTCCATGGCCATTATGGATCCCAGAACCATCTCCATCTCAATCCCATCGCCATGCCCTTCTCCAAACTCCGGGCCTTTTGGAGTCTTGCTCAAAAGACTTGCCACAAATCTTGCAAACATTCTTGTGAACAAATAATGTTGCATCTGATCAGGGGAACAGAGGGAAAAAAAGGGCATATCCAAGCATACTGAGTTGCAATCACTTCCTGAAAAGGATTTTCCCTCGTTAGGACGGCATCAACACTCCAAGAAAGAGTGCACTTCACCAAGTAAGTGAAAAATAAAAGAGCACATGTGGCGATGAAGTCCGCTGCTCACTAGAGTGCCCCCAGGCCAAGTACTCCCTCCCTCCATATGATACAAGAGTGGCTAGGGACCACTTGCCTGGCCGTGCCAAAAAAATAGAAAAAATAGAAAAAAGATTTTTGATTTATTTTTTGTTTTCAATTTGGTAAAGAATGTTGGTGTGACCCTGAGGCAAAAGTTGTGCGTTCGGTTTATTATTCTGCATTTGTGTTTCAGATATTGTGATATTTTGATTTATTATTTTTTTGCAGGGACATCCATTAAAATTGAAACGACACAGAGAGATTAGCATGGCCCCTGCGCAAGGATGACACACATAAATCGAGAAATGGTCAAAATTAAAAAAAAAATAAAAAAAAAATGCAGGGGAAGCCTGGCCCTTGCCCAGCTGGGCCACCCAGGCAGCCAAGGTGGCTCCAGCAGTCCAGTTCATAGCCCAGCTCTCTCCACATTTCTTTCCTCTCTCTATCTTCCCCATACCTCTTCCTTCTGCAGGCTATATTCCATTTTCATGCACATACAGGGCCATAAGCATGATCATCCATACCCAACATTGCATCTTACACAATCGAGGTATCTAGTCCACAAACTGAACCACATACACATTGCTTTTGTGCCGAGAATCATGCACCCTTCAAACCACCTCACTGCAGTCCTCCTCAGCTTCCTCTCAGAGGGCCCCTGCTGTCAAGAGCCTCCTAGGAACGTAGCGCACATATGTCGTATTTGAGTCTCGCCAATAAATCAATTCGTCAGAACTTGAGTACTGCACATTAAACAGGTCCTTATGGTCCTGGCTCCATATCCATTCTGGGGAGCATCAGTCCAGTTCCTTTCCACCGGCAAGTCAAGGATTGAAATACATGGTGAACACTCTCACTCTTCCTTCCGTCTGGCTGAAGGGACCCTGACCAGCATTGATTGCTCCAGATCGGGAGGATTGACTGTCAGCTTGCCTTGCCACTTTCCCTCTCAGAATCTACTGCGACTCTGCCAGATGATTCGTGTAAAGCAAGAAAAGAGGAGAGTTGTATATATTGTTGAGATTGCAATCTCAGTTTGCCCATCGCTGGGTCATCGTCCTTGTTGGATTTGCGCTGTGCCATTTCTTCCAAATCAATCTGTTATCTACCACAGTTGCAATCTTTCCCTGTAGAAGCCAGTTTCTCATGAAAGCCCGTCTCTTGATGGTTAGCCTTTCTTGTCTGACTTTCGTTGTTGAAGTCACCTCCTTCCATCTGGATCAAATCTCAGTTTCAGCCAAACCCACATTTCTTCCCTTGCCACTTCGGTACCCTTGATAGTCTTGGTACACCTCCTTTTCAGATTACCCATAGAGCCAGCTTCCTGAGCAGGTGAAACCAGACTTCCATGCCGCCTTTGAGATTGTTAGTATTGATGGATAGGAGCAGGATGTTCAGGCGAGTTGTGGACGGAGGGGGTGATGAGAAGAGGTGGGACCATAGGTCGTGCACCTTGTTCCATATCCATGCTGCTTCCGTGCAGTACAGGAGGCAGTGGGGTATATCTTCCGGGATGTTGTCTGTGCACAACCTGCATAGTTCAGAGCTGTCAGGGTCCGTATGTTTCCTCCTCTTGTGGAGCCATTGATTGACCGGCAGCGATGCTTGCGCTAAGAGCCACTGCATGCTTCGAATCCTAACCGGTCTAATGTATAGGTACTTCATGCAAGGGATGGAAATGGGGTCCGTGGAGTCTAGATTCAGGATCTCCCTCCATTTTCCTTCGAGTCTGGGGTTCGGATCTGTGGTTTGCAGACCCAATTCATAACCGAATTTGACATCATATTCAAATATTGTCCTCGTTCTCCTGGACTTGCCCTGCTTCCAAACCCACTATTTCGGGTCGAATTCGAGGTCTGAAATGCCGAGATCCGGTTGTGAGATTTTCCAGAGTTTGGCCTTTGAGACCCTCACTTCTCTCAGTCAGAAGGTTTCTAGTGTGTCACACTGGGGTTCTTTGCTCTGGATTTCCAGCTTTTGTAGGCTGTGATTAGCAATGGGGTATGAGTAGAATTTAGATAGGTAGCTGAGTGGGTTGGTTCGAGAGACGAATCGATATGCTCTGGTAGGCTGGGTTTACACTAGACCTATACTTGTTCTGATTCCAAACACACAGACACAAAGTCTGGGTTCAACTGAAGCATGCTCGAATGAAGATGAGCGATGCACATGTCCAAGGAGCGCCAGTGTGATGAACAGGACTCAAAACAGAAAGATATAATGCAATGTAGCGCAGTGGAAGAGTCAAAGATATGACCTGACACATCAGATCCAGACTTGACTCACACAATCATCATCACACATATCACACAGCAAGGAGGGGAATCATGCACGGAAGAAAGGCCCCTCCTTGCGCACAAACATGAGGAAGAAACCACGGATGATGAAAGGGGGAGGAGAGACGAAGACAGAGAGGGGAGAGAAGACAAGAGTAGAACTCGTAGTCGTCCAAGACATAGTCTCCCCGTCAAATGTCCAACCAATGTCTGTCCTAAAAAATGTCGAATCAGATCCTGGGCGCACATAGGCCCGAACTAGTCACTGCCTAAATCTCTCTCTCTCTCTCTCTCTCTCTCTCTCTCTCTCTCTCTCTCTCTCTCTCTCTCTCTCTCTCTCCCCCTGAAGAGGAAGAAGAAAAGAGGGAGGAGGAGGAGAAGACGAAAAAGAATAGTGGCTATGGAGGAGAGGAGAAGAATCAGGAGAAGGAGAAGAAGAAGAGCTCTCCTCTCTCGCGCGCTCCTGATGACGATGCCACAGATACTGACCAGCGAAGGTGACGACCCCCGATGCAGGGTGCTGCTGAAGGCCGGTCCCATGACCGGTATGAAGTCCCAGCTATGGCGCCCAGGTAAGTCTCTCTCTCCCTCATGGACATGGTCTCCGCCAAACCTCTCCACTCCAGCGCACTCCTCTACTCCCCCAGTGCTGCTCTACTGCAGCTCTCCCCAAACTGGCGCTGCTCCAGCAGCGTGATGCCCAACTGCGGCTCCAACCCAAATGTGGCCTCAAAGTGGAGGACTGGCCCAGCTATATACCGCTGGGCCTGGCTGAGCAGTCCTCGGCTGGCAGTCAGGACCGTCGGATCTGATGTCCGATGGATGGTCCTGATTGTAGGCCCAAGTCCTGGTCGTACGATCCTGGCCGAAAACAGGCTGTCTGGGTTCCTACCGGACGTCCGGCAACCCTGCTGATGCAGCAGGGTCCTCAGGACTGGGCCAGGCACAAACAGACGAATGCCTGGTCCAGTCCCAGATACGGACAAATCTGAACCTGGCGTACAATGGCCGAAAACTGAAATCCACTGGTCCAAACAGGCATTTGCCTGTTTGGACAAAAGGAGAAGTCCAAAACGACACATCTAAAACAGACAAAAATACTCCAGACAAAACCCTGCAAAGATAATAAATGCTTAATAAAGGAGAGCACAATCGGAACCAAACGAGTGCCTGGCCTCGAAAAATGGCTGTGGGCCTCCAGGTCACTCACCAAAAATGGGTGCGCGGCCTGAAGGCCTGGAGCAACCGTCGGGCCCCAAAACAGGGCCCGTGTAGCAGCCTCAGCATGCTACAGTTCCATTCATTTAAAAATTAAAACGCATTTTTGTGTTTTGGGGACGACAGTAGTCTCCAAGTCACTTTATTGCTTATTCTCACAGAGAACAACGCCTTGCAAGTCTGTCTGAGGCGCAGACATCAGTCCTGAATCTCTTCTTGGAGACGGATGGTCCCCTCAAAGTGCTCCCAAGCCCACCCACTATCCAAGCATGAACCCCTACATCAATACAAGGAGAGCCAACCCATCCCCTTGCAGGCCTATTGCCACCAACGGGCCAGCCAAATGAAGACCACGGGCCACAACTGGTACCCAGAGGAAGCTGTGATTGGCGAGTAATTGCCGGATCCGTTGACGCGACCTCGCAGGGTGCTCTAACCACTAGGGTGGAAGTCGTGTATAACACCGAGCAGTACCACTAAACAGTAAATACCAATCATATTTGCTGATAGTCATTCTGTAAAATGTGTGCAGGAAATTCTCTGGGACTTTGAAAGTTTTGTGTCCTCCGTTGCAAATGCTGCCTTTTTCTTTTTTTCTTTTCTAATCAGAAGATTCAGAACCTCTCAGTTCTGGCTCCTGCCATTCTGGGGAGCGACAGTCCGGTTCCTATTCCTCCGGCAAGTCAATGAAAAGTACAAGGTTGACTCACCCACGCTCCTCCCCAGGCCCGAGTGGACGGCATTGATGACTTCCAATAGGAAGGACGTACCACTCCTCACCCTTGCCTAAGTTAGCCTATTGTAGCTACTCATTGGTGTGTGTTTGCAGCATTTAGTAGAGCTGTGTATGCCTATTTCGTCACTAATTGCTCCTCTCAGCTGTATAGCTGTCAGTTTTGCGTGCGTGTGTAGGGCAAGCTGTGAGTGACGATCCCTGTTGCTTTCGCTAGAACCCCGAAACTTTGGGGTTTCATTCCTTCAGGAATGTCTGCTGTCTAGGACTGTATGTGCTTCTACCTTTTAGTGCCCTTAAACCTGTCTTCTATCCTGGGTCTGCCTGTTTCCGTCTTTTAAGTCTGTTGTTGTGTCTTTTTGGTCTAAGACCCTAAACCCTCTAAATTGTCTTCCTCTGGGGTTTCTCTTGTCATCTAGCTTTTACTCTGCGGGTTTGATTGAAATTAGGCTCTTCGCTATGGGGCTGTCTGGTTTACCTGGTTAGCTAGGGTAGTGCCGGTGTGCTCTACTGTTTTCTGTTTGTTGATCTGTAAGCCATTATTCCCAGTCGTCCGTATCCTGTGCTTGGCTAGTTAGAGTTGGGAAA